TGCTGCAGTTGGGACTTATTCCAGATTGGCATGTCCCACGCATCTTTTCAAAAAGTTGGCTGCTCTTCCCTATTCTCAGGCATCTACCACAGTGCTCTGGTGTGGGCGCCAGTGACAGAGGTGGGTGAGAAAAGGGGTAGAAAGAGCTGGACAGAACTGAGACACCTTCAGTGGCATGAGCCACGGCACTAGGTCAGGGGGCCAGTGTCGAGGTCTCCACTGTGTTCTAGCGGCAGACACCTCCAAGTGTCCGGAGCACAGCACTCAGCTGAGGTGAAGCAGCAGCTAAAAGTGAAAGATGCAAACGAAGAGCTGGGGGCAGCGGGGCAGGGCGCACACTCAGGTGAGCGGGAGAGGGAGTGTCAGAGACCCGGGAAGGTGAGGCGCGCCTGCTAGAGAGTGGCCGTGGGGGTGACCGGGAGGAAGGCTAGTGTGCTGTGCATAGATGGCCAAGTTATTTTCTGGCCATAAAGCCTGGGGTTCACCCTTCCACACCTAGACGCTGTGGCCTGCTGTGTTGCTCCGGCGTCTATGTGAAGAGCTTTGCCAGGCACCTGTGTTCTCTCTAAATATTGGACATTATTCCTATTTACTATGCTATTATTATTAGTTGTATTTCCCTTGGGTTAATTATGAAGGTAAAATATAAGGCTTTTAGTATAGCACCAGATATGTAGAAATGCTATTTAAGGTGACATTTTGTAGTTGACTTCCTTGGGGAAAGTGATCCTGAACACGGGCGACACTGTCATGCATGAAGCTTTAGTCGACACTTCATGGGAGCAGTTCCCCCTGCTCCCAATATAATGTATGTTTCTCATTCCTCTATCATTTGAGCAAGTGAGTCTTCATCAGACACTGAAAACAACACTAACTGGTACAATTTTATTACAATGGCTTTTAAGTTAGTTTTCCATGCTCCACAGATAATCAGAGTGCTCCGAGGAAAGAAATGTAGAATTGCTTGGGAATTCTGTTTTATCTTCAGTAGAGTCTCCCTATTCCTTACTGGTGCAACTGATACCATTGACATCTCACCCATGTTGCTTAGAAAAGCTTGAATGGTAACATTTCCTCACTAATAAGATTTGTTTCTCTGAAGTAATCATGGACAGCACTAGTACTGAGTGCACCCTTGATCTCTCCAGGTACAGATTGGGTTTTGGTGAAGGTCATGTCCCAGTATGAGCATGAGGAGGGATGAGGTGGAAGGAAGCAAGGTCGCTGGGACTGAGGTCTGACACCCCCCACCCCCCCGCAGGCTCTGGGGTGCTCACCTCTGTGGGAGGACTGAGGACAGAGCAGCAGCTGGTGGGGAGGAGGTGGCAGCCAGGTGCGAATGTCCTCCCTGAGAGGGTGGACTCGGCGCAGGAGTCCTCTGAAGTTGGGGTTATCAGCAGGTAGACCAGTCGGACAGGATGAGCTTTACCGGATCTGAGAATGTTCTCTGGGCGTGGTGAAGGACAATTAAGGCAAAGGCTTTTCTGGGAAGAGTCCAAGGGTGTAGGAAAGTCGGCAGAGTCCAAGAAAGGGACACAGTAAGGAGAGCAAAATGGGGTGGGACACGTGGAGTCCCAACCTGCAGCAGCTGAATCTGTGTGGATGGGGCTCCAGGAACCCACGTCAGGCTCCCTGTGGGAGGGACCAGACTGGCTGGCTCCTCTGCCCTTGCCTGCACAGCCAGGTGACCCGCCGCAGGCCCCTCAGTAGGTCACACCTCCCCTTCCAAGTCAAGTGCCTCAGACACAGCAGCACACTTGTCTTGGCCTCTCGTAGTGGAAAAGCCTGTCAGGGCATCGGGCTCATAGCTTTGGCCTGTCCTGTCTGGGTTTTGTCCCCTCCCTGCCTTCTGAAGTTGAGGTTTGTCGAGCAATGAAGGAATGTAAGGTAAGGTCCAGGGCTGTTCTCCGTACCATTTCAGCCACCCCCCCACCTCCCGCACCCCCAGGAGGCTCAGTCTTGTCCTCCTTCACCCTTACTAGCTGTGACCTGAGGGGAGTCCAGGCTGCAGGACTCACAGGGACACTCCTCACTGGATAACTGCCTTCCAGCTGCAAACACCTCCAAGTCTCTGGAACACGGCGCTTCAGCTGAGGAAGAACATTCCCCGACGCTGTAAAACTGGCTAAAACTTTATCTCAAAAGAATGCCTAGCAAGATGTAAATAATGCAGATGACTATTTAAAAAATACCTGTCACCCTAAGAATTTCTTGGCAGTCGTCATCATTCTAAACCTGTTTGGCACCCATAATTTTGCATAAGAGGTGATATTACATTCCTGGTTATATTGTAATTACATTCTCCATTAACAATGGCACATTAAATGATTTTAAAATAAGATTTTTAAATCATAGTAGTGGTTTTAATAGATACATACTTTTATAACCAATTGCCTAAAGAAAGGCATAGCTTCGGGACTGCTGGCATCAGATACTCTGTTGAACAACCTTACACAAATACCCCTCAGAAACTTTCCAATTTGAGGGTAAAGATGGTGCATATTAACTTTGCCCAAATGTTAAGATTTATGTTCAAGATGATTTTATAACTTATATTTCCACTGAGGTAGATGTGTTTTTTCCATACAAACTTAATACTGGTCAATAAATTTGACTTCTATTAGGTAAATAAAAGCTCCATTTTACTATGACTCATTTAAAGTTGCAGCTAAACTGTATTTGATCTATCTGCTAGTCACTGCCATTTCTGTTAGAAGAGAATGTTCCTTAAATATGTTCTCTGCTCCTTTTCCCCCTAGAGAATTTATTTTTTCTTAATGGTTTATAAGCAGTCTTAGTTGCAATTTTTTTTTTAATCTGTCATTTTTACCTTGCTCACTTTTTGGTATAGAATTTTTAAAAATTGTTTTTTATCCTACCCTAGTTACATTGATGGCTTGGCGTGTTCGCCTAGTGGGTGTGAATACTTTTGTACAGCCAGTGTTTAGTGGATGGCCTTGGCATCTGTCTTATGTCAATGGTTCCTAACTGAGCTGTTGACACAGTTAAGCCCTGCTCTTTCAATGGCGCTGTGCCCTCTATGGTGGCACCCCAGTGTGATAATGATTGGGAGAAAAAGATACAAGCTGTTGGCAGCCCGCCATGATCATCATTGAAAGACTTTTCACTGACCCCCCAGGTGAGTTGGGTGTAACTTTAGATTTTGAGATTTTTAGATTTCACTGCAAAGTTGGCTTGGCTCAGAGTTAGGAGTAAGAGTGCATCTTCCTTGTTAATCACCTGTTTACAAATGAACCAGCTTTCCTATTTGGTGATAGTTGGGTGAACATGGAGAGAGGTAGAGGGCTAGGAAATTGTCTATTGCTATATATCAAAATTACCTTAGCATTTCTTAGGGGCATAGGACATGTGCCCTGGGAACCACGTTTAGCATTGCCACTGCTCTCAGCCCCACTTCTAGATTGTTCTGTAGATGTCTGGGGAGAAACAAGTCCAACAGCATCATACAGCTTCACCCCACTTGCCTGCTAGTTGTGGCTATGAGGCATCTCGGCAAATCCCAGCTGCTGGAGAAAGACTTGACGTAGCTTATGGTCAGTTGATGTTATTTTGAGTAGGAAGGTACTGCGCACTTTGCACAGATTGGCTCGTTGAGTTTAGCATGTCTCAGATGAGGAAATGGAAACTGGAAAAAGTAGAATATCTTGACTCATTATTTGGGTAAGGAAGGGGCAAGACAAAAATTCAAAGTGATATTTTTCTGACATCCAAGTCTATGTTCTTCAGGGCTATTAAAAGAATTATTCTGTGACGGGCCTCCCCAGTGGCGCAGCAGTTGAGCGCTGGGTTGCGAAGCTGCCCGTAGCCTCTGCAGCGCCGGTTCGATCCCCGGCTGCTCCCCGGCCCCGGGAGGAGGGTCCCACATGGCGCGCAGACCTCTCCTGCCGCCCGCTGCTCCCCTCAGCAGTGTCCTTCGGTCCTTCTGCCTGCTCTGCTCCCCGCTCTGGCTCTGGTGAATTCTCTCACCCTCCCGCGCTTCTGACTGTGCCCAGGGCTTGTATAAATAAATAAATCTTAAAAAAAAAAAAAAGTTAAAAAAAAAAAGAGAATTCTGTGGTGTTTACTTTGAAACCATGAATATCCTTGACTGTCTTTGAATCTGAGAGGGACCGTCGTGAGCAGGAAATGCTGGCTCCCTTGTCTGTCCGCGGGGCACCTGCAGTGGCTGCAGCGAGGGGAGAAGCTCATCTTGGCATCAGCAAACTCACCAGAAACTTGACAGTGTTTTCTTTTTCTGATAGAATTTTTTGGCTACAAAATAGAAACTGTTTCTGTAAAACATAGCGCTTGAGGAAATGCGACCCATCATGAGAAAACTGGCAGATGAGTCACTCTAGTTACCCAGAGGGAGTCCGTGTACCCTGTGAATTCTGGGCAGTGACCCAGGGCGCTGCAGCCATAGTGATATTTTCGGGGTGAGTCTCTTTTTTAAATAAAAATGTCTCTCCCTCCTCAGTGCAGAAAGGAAAATGGTGTGGAAAGCAAGACCTCCACTTTGAGTAGCGCTGGGTTAACTACTTGGAAGCATACTGAGTTGCTGTGGGTGGCTTGGAGGGCTTGAGTACGTTCAGCCAGTTACTGTTTGTTTACTTTCACCATCAATAAAAATGTCAGGGTGGGGGTGATGTCATCACTGCCTCGTCTTACCGGGGAACCTGTAAGAATTTATGTCCGTGATTGTAGAATGCACTTACTTAATGTCCGATGCTGTCTGACGGCCACTCAGCAGTAACTAAAGCAGCCGCTTATCAATTACTCTTACCTATCTTTTCTGTTCTTCATATTTCTTAACCTTGCAATAACACACGGACAGCTGTATATGCGTCCAACCCAGAGCCACTGCGCGCTGCAGAAGATGGATAACTGTTGCAGGAGGAATTGCAGGAGGTTGCCAGATCTTCTGGTATCCGTTTTCTCAGAAGTCAATCTGACAGTCCAACATGAGTCTTACATTGAACTTATTTTGTTTTTATTTTTAGATAGAATTTCGACAAATGTTCTTTTAAAAAATCTCCATATGGACACTGCTTGCTTTGTATGACTTGGTGAGTTCTTATCCAAGTGCCTTTCCATTATAAAAATACTAGAAAAGACAAACTATACTAAATGAAAAAATGACAGTCACACATGAGAAGTGGAAATAACAGAACTTATTTTAGCAATTACGTTGAATCTAAATTGAACACTTCAGAGAATGATATTGGAGGGTTTGCCCTTGTCACTTCTCATGATCGATCTTCCTCTGGGCACTGGTGGGTCAAGGTCTGGGCTTGGAGGCCCAACCCTTTGCCAAAATGACACAAGTGCACTCGGTCCTGGGGTGACAAGATGTGTCCAGAAACCGCCTCATCCGCTGGCATCCGGCACAGCTGGCCCCGAGGACTCCAGCGCCCCAGGCCTAGCCCCACACATACCCCTCAGGCTGGGACCTGTGGGTAGGGTCTGGCAAGAAGCCAGGCCCTGCCCATCTTGATCATGGATGGCCTGAGTGCATGCGTGGCAGTCATTTTCCACTCTGACATCTATTCTTCATCCACTTTGTCCATCTTCATGTAATACATTGGATCGGGACTTGATCAGGGAGATTAGGGGACGGTAAAAATAAGTCTTGTGTTTTTACCCAAAATCCAAATTGCTTAAAATACTGTTTACCTTCCTGGCTTAGTTTTCCTCTGTTAATAATTTTCCTGTCTGAATAACAGCCACTATCAACTCTGCTGTTTTTTAGAAACTTTAGAATTTTGCCCAGAACTTCAAAACCTAACATGCAAAAGAAAACTGAAAGGATAATTTTTTCCCCTCATATTACTCAAAATGAGATCTGACAGAATTAAAAAAACATGGCAAAGAGGCTATTTTTATTTGTTCTGGTAGTTTCCATGACTCGCTTTTCCAAGTTGTGAATTGAAAGTTGAGTTTAGGCAATTCCTGTTAAATATTTAAAAATACTTAATTTTTTAGTCATTTTAGATTTGCAACGAAGCTACTACTCATTGTCTTCCCTCTCCTTTGCACAGCTCAGTCCCAAAGCTGAACCTGCAGTGAGAGGTGCCTCTGAGAAAGCTGTGACCACCCACAGGTGGTAACTAGGGGTGTAGGAGGGGGGTGAGCCCACGGAGTGAGTCTGTGGTTGAGTTTGAAGTTTGAATGGAACAAGCACGTTTCTGAGTCAGTCCAGTGTCTTCTGTGGGGAGCGCCAAGTATCTCCTGTCTCACACTAGATGGTCTTTCGGGAATCTTGATTCCTACATGAGTATTTCACGTGAAAACTTCCAAGACATTAGAATGTCATAAGGAAAATGCACGTCAGTGCTGCGTCATTTTACTGAAGGTTTCATCCCCATTTCAGTCTTGTCTCCCCATCTGGTGGGTTGTCACTTGGGCAGATGGCCACCAGCTGGGAGGCAGCCTGTGCACCCCCCATGGTGCTCAGCAGACTCCACCTGGAAGCGACCCGCACCCCCACTCCAGGCTAGTGCATGCTCAGCCGCTGACTAGTGGATGAAGTTTCCAGGCAGACCTTTGGGGATCCGGAGTCTCCATGTCCCCGTTGGCATCATGTCAGTGCACAAAGTTGCTCTCCCAGCTCAGCCCCCAGCGAGGGGGTGTCCTCGAAAGAGCAGTGAGCTCCGTTGATAAGAGGGACAAAGAGAGAGAAAGGGTGTCTTTAGAGGGAAATTCTGACACTAGTCCGCAGTTTGATGTTTAAGGAGCAGGTTCTCTAATGAACAAGACCCCATTATTAGGACCACTTTGTCCCAAAATAGGCTAGTGCTCTATGAGCCTGCTGTTAGTAATATGTGCACCATCCTACTAGCTTCCGAAATTCCCGAGTTTTTTCAAAGGCCAGCATGTAACCCCAGTTCTCACTGCCCTGGTCTCATGAAAAATCACTGAATTTTGCCGTCTTGCTCTTGTAGAAGCCTGTTGAGCTGTTCATCGTGGGTCCTCAACCTGGGTCAGTTACAAGAGATGTGAGTCTTCGGAAGAAACCCTGTCCTTTTTATTAATTTTTCTTATATGTATTTTACATCATTGTTCATTTTTAAATAGTGTTTGTTTCCCCCCCACCCAGGTATAGTCCCCACAGAATTTCTTCAAATCCCCCCTGCACCATCACCTCAGTCCCCTGTGCTCCTTCTGCTCCCTCTCCCGCCTCCTCCCCTGCAGGATGTCTCAGGTTTATAGTTTTTTGTATTGTTGTGTTTTGTATTTTTTTCCCTCATATCTTATTTGGTTCCTCTCTATTCCTCCTATAAGTGAAACAATCCGATATTTTTTTTTCCTCCTGACTTATTTCACTGAGTATCATTCCTTCTAGCTCCATCCACATTGCTGCCAGTGGTGTGAGTTTAACTTTTTTGATTGCTGAATAATATTCCATTGTGTATATATGCCACATCTTGATCCAGTCATCTATTTTTAGGCATTTGGGTTGTTTCCAGGTTTTCCCTACTATAAATAGTGCTGCAATAAACATAGGGGTGCAGGTGCTCTTTTGAATCACTGTTTTTGTGTCCTTTGGGTAGATCCCTCGGAGTGGAATTGCAGGGTCATATGGCAGCTCCATGTTTAGTAGACTGAGGAGCCTCCAGACAGCTTTCCACAGTGGTTGGACCAGTTTGCACTCCCACCAGCAATGTAGGGGAGTTTCTTTTTCTCCACATCCTGATTGGGAAAAAATCTTGGCACTCCATACATCTGATAAGGGACTGATCACAGAGATACAGAAAGAACTCACACAACTCAACAAGAACAAAGTAAACAAGCCAGTCAAGAAATGGGCAGCAGAACTTAAGACACGTCTCCAAAGAGGAAATGCAGATGGCCAACAGGCATATGAAAAGATGTTCAGCATCACTCACAATCAGGGAAATGCAGATCAAAACCACAAAGAGACATTGTGGCACATATCAAAAAAAACTAGCAACAACAAATGTCGGTGAGGATGTGGTGAAAAAGGGACCCTGTTTTTTTGTTTTTGTTTTTGTTTTTAAATAAACACCTGCTGTTTTCCTTTTTCTTTATAGATCCAGGTTTGGGGCAAAACGATGGAATAAAGTCAGAATGCAGAGTTGGGTAATGCCCGTAGATTCGTCGTTGTCTTGGAACCCCCTGTACACTATGTTGTCTGCAGACACGGCTGCTCTGCTCAGTGTCTCCATGTCCAGGTCGGCCACGCCTGGACGCCGCATTCTGAAGCAGAGCGTGATGTCTGTGGCTTCAGAGGTCGCACATGTGCGTTCGTGCTGAGACTGTCCCTAAACATTCTTTAGGCATTACGTTGAAGTTGGCTCTGAATTTTAATTTATAAATAACACTTCAAGATAATACATTCACCCATTATTTTGGAGCTTATGTTTGGGAATTTGATGGCGTGAGAGTGAAATTCTGGGTCCGAGGATTATATATAGTTGAATTTTTATCCTGTCACATTTTGTAAGGATAGGTCCTAGCAACATGGAGAGAGCGTACTGGAGAATGTTCTATTTTTGGTTTTTCTGTGTCAGGCTGTCCCGTCTGACCTTGTTTATCTCCAGACCTTGGCCCTGCCCCTGTGAAGCGCTTTCTCAGGCGTCCTGTTTCCCCTGTTTTGGCTGCTCTTGATAGCATCATGCCAAGGTTAGCCGGTCCCACGCGGACGCGGTGGGAAACGCAGCGGGCTCTGCTGTCTGCACACATCAAGGCCAGGGTCTGATAAGAGCTTCACAGGTGGCAGCAGCCTCATCCCCAAACAGAGCAGCTTTTCCCTAGTTCTGGTCGTGGCTGAGGCGGCTGATTTAAATCTACACTCACCATTCTCGACCAGTTCCGAGCCGCTGGGACAGGTGCTTAGTGGCAACATGTGTCTCCTGTCATGGGCACAGGGTAGTTCTAGACGGAGTCGGGCCAGAGCACAAGTCAGGGTTCCCTGCTGACGGATGTGCTGTGACCCGTCTAACCCCGGGGCCCTGCCTGGTGTCCCTGTCAGTCTCTGCTGCTTGAATGAATGGATGGACAAGAGAGACTCATGGCTTGGTTGTAGGAACCTGGTGACGTGTGCGTGAAAGCACTTTAAACAGGAGAGCAGACCAGGCAGGGCAGACAGCTCTTGCCTAGGCCGAGGCGCAGGGTGTGGGTGAGCGTACACGGGGTGAGGCCCAGAGACTGGTGAGAGAGCTGCGTCTCCGCTACGGTCTGTCTGAAGGCCCCTTTGTTGGAAGTGTACTCCTTGCTCCGTGGTCACAGTGCTGAATCTGGGGGGACTGACCCCAGGCGCCCCTCTGAAAGTCCAGGTGAAATTGTTTGTGCAGGAGCTGAGTAACTGCACGCAGCACAGATGAACAGGGGCTTGGGGAGAGAAGCACCAAGGGCCCGCGGAGACCAGGGCTGTGTCCGGGTTCCGTCCCAGAGCTGCCGTCCTCTGACTGACAGGCGCTTTCTCCCTTTCTGTTGGCTTCACCCAAACTCGCATCAAGGCCTGAACATGTTAGTTAATTGCTGGGTGAAAGTAAATCAGTCACAGCTTCTTGATGAGGGAGCTGATTTTTGAAATCCTTGCTGTTCCCCGAGTCTGTTACTAGCAGATCTACGACACTCTGTGAGCCGTCCCAGATGCATGGCTTTATCTTCTAGTTAACCCCCCCAAAATTCCAAAACTGATTTTTTGTGCTTATGTCTCACATTTCTGGTTTTTGTTAAATTTTGGGGTGTTGTCTAGGATTCAGTGTTATTGGTACTGATTCAAAAACATTGCTTGATCATCAACATTTTACTTACGTCATACTGAGGATTTAAATGAATTAAGAATCCCTCCTATTTTTACGACTTTCAAGTTCTTCAGCTGCTAACTGCCTTTTTGGTCAAGAATAGGTGTGTGAATAGATACAGAGGAAGGGCTGGGAACTATATATTTTTTAAATTTTATTTTTGCATAGAATAACTGGGGTGTAAGCCAGAGGTGCGGGGGGTGAGAGGATCCACCAGAGACAGAGTGGGGTGCAGAGCAGGAGGATCTACCAAAATACACTGCTGAGGGGAGCAGCAGGGAGATGGGAGAGGTCTGCAGCGCCATGTGGGTCAGCTCCTTGGCTGGGATGGAACTCAGGCCACAGTGGGGATAGCACTGAGACTTAATCCCTAGCCTACCAGGGAGGCCCTGAACATTTTGGTTTTAAGAATTGTTGAGATTGAAATTATCCTGGGACTCAGGTGGATATTCCCAGCAGCAACTGACTTGCTAGTGTTTCCGCAATGATTTCTGGGTCCTCATCTAGACCTTCCTGGATGTCCCTTTGCCACTTCAGGCATCGGTCTCCTCTGCTTGGCCTAAATGACTCCTCAGAGCCCTGTCCTTGGTTCTTGGCTCACGCCAAACAGGGGGCGTTCTCTACATTCCTCTAAACACAGGTGATCCCACAATGCACTTCTGATCTCCTAGGCTCTTCCTTGACAGCAGATGTTGACAGGTGAATGGGGGTTGGAATGGCGAGGCGGCCTCTGAGAACGCCTGGCCGTGAGTGCATAGATGCTGACCTTCTGCCTGCTGGCTGGGAGGCTGGTGTGAGCTCAGTTCAGAGCAGGTGCACCGGCCGTTGTGAAAGGTGGTCACTGGTAATGACGGGTGGTGGTTTCAGAATTCAAGTCACCAGAAAGCAATTTTGGATTTCCCCTTCCAGACCTTTGATGATGATCTTAGCGGGAGTTGTACAGGTAACTGCTCATCTCCTGGCCTGCGAGTGTCCAGTGGTGTCTCTGCCTGTGCTCCCAATGCACTTTTCTCCTGTTTCATCAAGATTAGGTGTTCAAAACGATAGTGACGCGTGCACCAACTGCAACCATAATGCATTTTGACACAATACCTTGGTGTGAAGAGAAACTCAACAGGTGAGCCTTCATGCCCCAGGGTTCTAGATGCAATTGTCATCGAAATCACGCAGCTCTTTTCTGATACGTGAAGGTGTCTCCTGCGCTGTCCTGCCCCCAAGAATGCAGCGTCTATGCTGAGCACTTAGAGAATGAGGCCTCCTTTCTCCGTAGCGGTGAAGAAGCTAAGCCCTGTGACTTGCAACTCATAATGGCTTCTGCAGAAGTGACCACTCTCGGCACTTGAATGGGGATATGTAATGAATTGTTGGAATTTATTTGATTTAAATGAGTCTCATGTTGCGATAGAATAAGTAAATGACAGGATCATACTCTGAAAGGGGGAAGTCAGGGTAGTTTTTAATCCCTCTTGGTGGGTAAAATAACAGTCTAGTTAATGTGTTGCTGCTAAGATTTCTTGGATATAAAATATATATATATATAAGAAAGGATCACTGTGGGATTAGAGAAACGTTGTCCTGTGACGGCTGTTCAATGGTGTAATGGTATTGTGTAGTTTCCAGCAAGTGCCCAGCCTGGTGCCAAGCCCAGCCCCTCCACACACACACCATCTACTTTGATTCCACCTTCAGGACTTGAGAATCTGGTTTTCTACTCCATCCATGGTTAATAAGCTTTGATTGAAGTCTCATTAAACACCAAGACATTTTTGTACTTTCTTGAAAGTACAAAAATTTTTGTAAATGTTTCCAGGGCTCTGTTTTACATTAATGGAAACCCAATGGTCTTTTAAAAAAAATCTATTTTGCTTAGTTTTGAATTTTCATAGCAGGCTTATGGTTTTATCACTGTTTGATATGCAGATTTATTTATTATTGCCATCTGTTTCAGTGAAAGCTGTTTAAGTGCTAAGCAGTTGCCTGAATGATGTTCAGGTCTGCATGGGGGGTAATTTTGGAAACCAGAATCCAACAAAGACAAATACTCTATTACTTGAGACAAAGATCATCTACAAATTGGCTTATTTAGCATTTTGTTGTAATCCCACCACCAGTGCCATCTGTATCTGAGTTCTGAGGATGTTCTGTCTTTTCAAGATTGATTATTAATAAGCATTTTCTTGTGACTAAATTCTTTTTAGCCTATCTAGAAGATTGCTAGATTAATATTATAACTCAGTGAAATTTCGGCATGCTAATTAATGTCTTTATAGCCTCTAGGTTATTTTAACAGTCTGAGGCTGCAAGTATAAAATTATAGCCAACTTGAATATAACCAAACATTTCAACAGGCTCAACTGCTAAGTTGAAGCCGAGTGAGAACCGTCTCCTTGCCTTGGAGATGGTCCATCGGACAGAGCAGATTGAAGAGATGAATCCTTGAACCAGCCTCGCTTGCCTCATTCAGCTATTCTTAGCCTCTGTCTCTGGCTTCATTTGGTCTGGAATGTTCTTGGAAGGGTGTGATAAGAATCCAGTCATAGGACTCAGATCCTTTCTGGCTCAATTTGGTTTCACTCATGTGGAATAAAAGTAACAAGAAAAGTCAAACCAAAAACCAACCCTAGAACCATGACGGTGAAAGGGATAATAACCCCAAGGGAGAGGCGGGGTGGGGGCCCAGTGTGGCTGCTGTGTGGTGTGGTCCTAGACCTCTGAATCGTGCAGTGAACCAGCATCATCTCGGTAAAATGACAAAGGACCATTTTAAGCAGCCCTCATGTCCTCATGATATTTAATGAGACAGGGCAATACCTGG